ATAAATTAAAAGTTAGAGCTGGTTTCCCTTATTTTTTCAAATGCAACTAGAAAACGAAAAATAAACAAATAGGACAAAAATCGCAGTTCCCTCAGCCATGACCTAGGAGGATTTACATTAATGTTGATCATAATGTTAATCCTCCTTGGCTATGACCAGTTACTCCGGGCGAGCGGAAGAAGATGAAGAGGCGCAGAAGGGGCGGACAGACGGTAAACATTGGGCGAGGACAAACCTGATTCTCTTCACTTAGTGACGTCACTTCCTCAGGGCCGTCTGACATCATCGTGCAAACCTGGTCATGAACCGTCCTTTGTCAGTCTCGCCGCCAGCCGAGCAAGTGAAATGGAACAACCTTTATCTAGTTCTGGTTCCGCAATCCGCCTTCTCTCTGGAACCACTCTTATAAATCCTCTTTAACCTCTTTTTGACCTTTTTTTTTACCTCTTTATGTTTCCTCCTTTTACTTCTTTCTTTGTCTTATTTTCACCTCTTTATTTGTCCTCCTTTATATACCGGTATTTTGTCTCCCTTTTACCTTTTTGATTTTCCTCCTTTTACCTCTTTTTTGTCGTCTTTTCCCCTCTTTATTTGTCCTCCTTTTTCCTCCTTGTTTGTCCCCTTTTTCCCTCTTTATTTGTCTTCCTTTATCTATTTTGTCTTAATTTTTACCTCTTTATTTGTCCTCCTTTTACCTCTTGATTTGTCCTCTTTTCCCCCTTTTATTGTCCTCCTTTAAACCTCTTTATTTTTAAGAAGTTAAAGAAAAACAATCAAGCCTAATCACCGAAGAAAAACAAACAAAGATATCTCCACTTGATCCCCTCTTTAACTGACCTAGTGAAACTACTTCGATCAATTTTTGTGTAAATTCATTGTATTTTATTCAATTGCCTAGCAGATGAGTGGTCATATTGCTTGCCTGACATTCAAAAATTCGCCGGTTCGATCCTGAAAATAGTTAGTAGCCTTGATGGTTAGAATCTGGGCATTTGTCCTTATAAGGCTTTAATAAATGTTCCTGACTAAAGAAACAAATAGTCTTTGTCACTAATGATTGGTAAACAGATTTGGCTGAAAAATTTAATATGAATATGTCATTGAAACGTACCGGTAGTCGACATGTTCTCAGTGTCTAAATAAGATTCTTCTTTTTCTTCGATAAACTGTAAAGTGAAGTAAAATATCTTAAAGATTGCCTAGCCTATACGAAGGATTCCAATTCTAAAATTATATTTGTTGTAAATCCTTTTTTAAATAAATCTGAACTACTTAAGTCATTATTAAAATTCCAAAATAATTTGAAATAAACTTATTTTGTGTTCAAGATAGCGGTTCGGACATCTTGCTACAAAATAATTATGACGAGAGGTCGTCCAGTGGTCGAAACTCGACCAAAAATATGTAATGTACTCACTTATCTATTTTCACCCCACACTGTAAATAAAACATGTGATTGGAGTTTCTTCCATTTGTTTTGATTTTCTGTTTATATTTCGTTGTTATTTCGTAACCAGCATAGCAACGCATAAGATCCATGTTAATTTTTTCAAATTTTTAAACTCATTTTTGTGCTTATCATTGAGCCTATTTAAATTTATAAAGGGATTCTGCACACCTACAGGAAAATAGCTTTCCAACGGTATGCGTAGATTTTCCCTACGATGCACACGAGCTGAGAAAAAAGGTTTTAAAGAAACATGCTTGCCTATTAATATATAGATAGATTTTAACCTATGGAATCCCAGCTGCAATTATTCTAAAATTGAGCTATTCCAAAAGTCATTCATTCGATTTATTTATTTTAAAGCCACTTGAGATATGAACAATCACACATTTTACAGCTATGCTTGACTTCCAGTTGAGCCAGAAACACGAATGATAATCCAAAGAATATTTATCCACATGCTAAATTTCAACTTCAAAATTCTAGTTTGCAATGAATAGTATTTTCACACATACGCTGATCAATAGTATTTTGTCAAAGGCCTTGACTATGGAATCATTCTGCCTACATAATGATGTGTCGCCATCGTCATTGTTATGCACGGAGGGTCCAATAATAGGTGTATTGTTGTTTTGTGACTCATACAAAATGTCAAGTGGGCGTCGGTAATGTTACAAACATCAATGGACCATTATTATCATCTAGAAACCGACATGATCAGCTGTGTTACATTTAGGATAGAATTTTATCTAACGACTGTCGTGGATCGTATGAAATGAGAATCGTTTGAAACCCGGACCCAGCTGTCCTTGATCATTGGGATTTCAATAAAAATGATCCTGACTAATGAAACAGCTGATCATCAGTAAAAAGCTGCACATCATCACACTCCATTCTACATTCATCATTTACTTATATTTGGGTAAAATTACGCACATAGATTGCGTCCCTATTCCAAATGAAGATGAATAGAATATGCTATAGCATAGATAAAACATACTCCCTTAGTAGATTTCTCATCCTTATGGAACAGCTGAAGACAATTTTATTGTTAGTTCCTGTACGGTTTATGCAGAGGTCGTGTTTTGTTTACAATTTGTTTCCTGTTATTACAGCCATTTAAAACTCGTTTAACCAAATAATACGATCTAATCATAAACAATAACTTGTCCCCTAGTTATATAACCAAACAGTAAAGCACAAATCAAGAAATTAACCCTAAAATAATAGAAACAAAGTTTCGTCGACACTAGCGCCCATGTGTCACGTACATGAACTAGACACGAAAAACGTGCTTCAAAATTTACAATGGGATGAGAATAGGAGAGTTTTTTTTTTTTTCATTTAATAACCTCAATCTAACATTTTAGAGCTTCAAGTGTTCATTAATGACTTATATGGAAAATGCTTAACTTTCTTTATTTCAAATAGCAGCACCGTTCATTTCTAAATAAATGTCCAGGCAACATAAATACACCATAATATGCAATGTTTACTAATTTTTCGAATGCATCCATTACTTCCATTTACCTTAATCTCCCAACATGTTTAGCATGTATAATCGTACACTGTTTACATCAACATCCTTTTCCCAACATATTTACCACTCAGGCTATACTGGTTATCATTCAAAACAGCTCACAAAATGGTTCATGATTTTTTTTTATTTTGCTAACAGCTGCCACTTAGAAATGCCACATTTAGGACGTAACTTTACTTAATGCAATTAGCGTTGTTATCCTGGGATGGAGACTGGATTGCCACAGTTAAACTAACAAGATATACTGTGGCAGACGGCGTCGTGACGCTCTGATGGGGGGGGGAGAGAGAGGGTGAGAGAGGGGGTTAGGGAGAGGTAGGCTGTACCAGTATCGACCACAGGCCCACCCGCGATTCTCTTCTAAAAATCCTTTCTTCCCCCTAATGGGTTATTCTTTTTCTAAGAGCTTTAATCCATTAATCGTTTTAAGGTTTCTATAATTTTTATCAGTATCTTTTCAAAATCATCTCATACTTCATTTTGATAAGAAATCACCTACTTCATATCATTGTAAATTCAGACCCTAATAGATCCCTTCCTGGCATTTCTAACCCCTTTTACTTTTACCCTAGATCTTCCTATAATAGAGTATTTTTTCGTCATAGAAATATCCTTCTTGGACTCCATATATTGGACATGCACATATGAACAAAAAGGTCATGAGTTTATCTTCAAAAATAATTTGGCGTTTGATTTTTGAGCTGGTCAAAAGATAGATCCAGGTACTCTTTACAATGGTGGGGATCTAATATTTGGGCACCCAGTTGGCATCTTGTATGAAGTATCTATCATTGAGATGGGGTTTCACCTATAGGTCCATATAACCCAAATATGAGTAAAGGATGAGTGTAGAGTAGTCTGAGGTTATCTGTGTAACATTGTTACCAGTGGCGTCATTTCACCAAATCCTTTGGGGGGGGGGGGAATACCCCCCAGCAAACAGGGGGGGGTCCGGAAAATCTTTTTCAGTTTTGAAACAAAAGAAGAGGGGTTTAAGCTTATTTTAATTGTCAAAAGCACTTCGAATAAAAACAAAGTTATGAGTAAAATTTATTTAAATTTAGGCAGAAAATTAATGAAACTAACAATTATTGTTAACAGACAGAAACATAATAATATGTTGGTAAGTTTAGTCATCTAAGAAACGTGATCAATAGTTTCATTGTCTATTAATATTATTTTTGTTATTAGATTTATGACCAAATTCTCTTGTACAACATTTAGACTGATTTATTTGACAGGAGAAAATATATGTATATTAGCATAGATAAACCATACTCCCTTAGTGTTGCTTAGTCTATGATATTAGCTAGTACAGCATATTTCTTTCTCTAGCCCAGGAACCAGGGGGGCGAGCCCCCCCTGCCCCCCCCCCCCCCCAATGACGCCCCTGATTGTTACTGACTAAGGTCAGCTGTTTTATTAGCCAGGATGACTTATTTAAAGCCCAATGTTCAAGAACCTCTTAGAACAGAGACTAAAACTGTATAGATCATATAAACACAAACAAATTATGTCACATTTACATCCAAGTTAGGGCTATTTGTACAACAGATATCACCCTATTCATGTCAGGAACAGCTTGGTTCAGTATCAAGGTATCAAACCATCAAAAAGCTACTGACTTTTCTCATGATCAACGTCCACCTTTTGATTGTTAGGCGAGCATTATAACCAACCAGAATGTAGATCAATGTAGCCAACCTAAAATAAATTATTCAAGTTTAATGGATGGGTTGTTATGTGTGTGCACCTCAAATCAGGTATTTTCATACCTTTTACTTACCTAACTGCAAGTGTGGCAACCACAATTAATTAGTGGATTAAGTGTCATAAAAAAGAAAACATGGAAAAATAGGCATAATCAAAAAATAATTTCTGGTGCTAATTTCTGGTAACATAATATTGATATAATTAAAATTTCCGACCTCCTTGATCTTCTTTTTATTAACGGGATAAAGAATATGATGAGGGTTGAAAGTGACTAATCGATAAATCCCACATTGATTGCAGGCTCAGCACTGAAATGTCACTCGTGTACCTCCGTCACAGACCCCAAGTGCGGTGACCCGATAGACAGCAGTCTGCCCCTGACAGAGTGTACACCAGATGTGCTGAAGGAGGCTGGTAACTTGTTGAAGGGCGCTGCCGACGCTGTGTCTGGCCTCTTTGGCAAGGTGGGCATCGACACAAACTTTCAAGTGCCGGACGCCAACGCTGCCTTTGCCTGCGCCAAGGCTGTCAAGCAGGGTAGGTATCTTATAATCGTTATAATGTTGTTCTTGAAAGAGGCCCTTTTGTATTTATTGACTCATGTTTGACTATCTGGTAAGGACCCTGGGCAGAATAAAGTGGTTCTATCTGCTGCCGTTCTCCATTAATTTTTAGAAACAAAACAAAACAGTGAACCTTGAACTATCTTTCACTATTGATCCAAAGTCAATGGTTCTATGAAATTTATTTACTTAATTCAATCAGCTGTGGCTTTGTAGCAAAAAGCCATGGTGTTGCCATGGAGACCAATGACTAATAATTTCTAAAAGCTTCATCAAGAACCGTTTGTGGGTAAAACCATAGATAAAACATACTCCCTTAGGTAAAACAGACTGGATATGAAGACAGTCGGACAAGTCGCGGTCGATTGAGAATTCCAGATGGACTTGGCCGACACAACCGACCGCGTCAGACCGTGTGTGGGCTCAACAGACTTGGACTGGCGTACTGACAGAGTTGACTTTGTTCTTTTGTATCTTCTCCGCTGTAGTTCTCATTGAGAAATTTTAATTGTTAATTGGGAAAAATTACCTCCTATTTCATTTAATTCTTTTTTCATTTTTCAAATTGGTTAGTGTTAGTATAACACTTTTTACAAGATTTGAAGAAAATCGTCGGAGCCGTTTTCGAGATCTTTCTGCAAGCTAGCATATTTACATACATACATACAAGCAAACATTGCTCATATTAGAGTATAGGATTTTATGTCACATCAACTATCAACTATCACAATAACACAAATAAAGGAAGGAAATAGAGATTGTAGCTCACTCTAAGTTACTCATTTAACTATATTCTTTTAGAAAAAAATTAACTATAGCTGGTCAATATTTGGATAGTTAAATTAACTGTTACCTACCTTTGTCTTTATCAATATCCTCTGATTCTTCTTATGACGACCGGTTTTGTGACAACAGTCACATCATCAGGTCACAGGTCAATTCTCGTACAACGATTCATTAAGTACACATAAAGTTTTAACCGAAGACAACACAGATTATATTAGATTAAGGTATCTACAATCCTAAAATGCTATGGGAAGAGAGGAAAACAGTTCCGAGACGTAGGAAGTGGTGAAGTAAGTAGTCAAGGCGAGCAGTCTCTGGAGCGTGGGAACTGATAATGAGGATAAGATCAAGGTATCTGCAATCCAAAAATGCTATAGGAAGGGAGGGAAACAGGTCCGCGACGTAGGAAGAGGTCAAGGAAGTAGTAAATGCGAGTAGTGTGGAGTTTGGGAACTGTTTGTGGCAGTTAGATTAATGTATCTGTAATACTTAAATGCTATGTGAGGGGAAGGAAACAGCTCTAAGGCGTAGGAAATGGTAAAGTAGTAAAGGCTGGCATCGTAGGGTGGGGGAACTGTTTGTGTTAGTTATATTAATATGTCTGTAATACTTAAATGCTATGAGAAGGGATGGAAACAGGTCCATGACGTAGGAAATGGTGAAGGAAGTAGTAAGGCTAGCAGTGCAGAGTGTGGGAACTGTCTGTGGCAATTACATTATATGTATCTGCAATCCTAAAATGCTATGGGAAGGAAGGGAAACAGGTCCACGACGTAGGGAGTGGTGAAGGAAGTAGTAAGGGCGAGCATTGTGGAGTGTTGGAATGGATTAATGTACCTGCAAAACTAAGTGGCGTCCCCATCTTAATGATTGATAATTGATAATTGATAAGACTGCTTTCAGAGTAGCCTAAACTAACGATTTTCCCTGAGCAAAGCTCGGTCCCATAGGTACTATGTTATAGTGTGCAATAAGTTGTCCTTTTAATTTGGATCGGTTGAAAACTTGGTGTTTTTTACAGGAATCATTCATTTATATCAGTGCAGGATGGTGGCTTAATTCAACTACACTAATTTTTATTCTAAAACTATAGCAACAACTTTGATATGAGAATGAAAACATAGCTATATCCATCAACGATTACACATCCATAAAGTATTAAATTTGAATTTAATTTTTTTTTCAACAGACGGTGACAAGAGGGTGGTTGTCAGAAGCTGCAGTATCCCAAAAAACGAGAAGTTTGACATGTGCACCCAGATGAAGGCTACTGGATCTCTCGTGACGTTCTGTGAGACTTGCGACTCCGACGGCTGCAACGGAGCGTCAGGTCTCGCCTCCTCCTCACTTCTGATGGCACTACTGGTAGCCCTGGTGGCCTATCTTACCAAGCAGTAGACACCACAGAGGCCAACTTACAAAAATCAGCTGATCAAATTAGGTTTACCTTTAAGCATAAGGTGAATCACTGTAGATACTGAAATGGATCTTTATGTGTGAAAAACAGGGTTGCCACCCATCCCAATTCTGTCAAAAAAAGTCCTTTTTTCAGTACTTTATGCCCATGTTTGTGTCTATGTTTATTGGAGGTGGAAGAGGGGGGAGTGTTCCGAATTTTCCAACCAAAGAGTGGCGACCGTGGTGTGAAATGTGAAGAACATGATTTTTCTGGTAGTGGTCAAGGAGTTTTATTTTTTGTGCAAATACATTGTAGTTTGAATTTGAAAATGTAGGTCTATCCACAGAGAAGTAAAGCCGGGTTTTCCTAGGAGCGGAAGTGGAGAGCAGAGAGAGGAACGCGGAGAGCGGACTCCACTTGTCTTAGGTAATTTAATGTTGCTGTTTTCCTAGAAGCGGAGCGGAAGACCATGTTAAATCTCTTTTTCACTCTCCGCGTTCCTCTCATTGCTCTCTGCTTCCGCGTCTAGGAAAACCAAGCTTAACGTACGGAGGAAACATTCAATGGTCATCCCATAAGCAAGTTTCCTCTGTACCTCACTTCTCTGTGGTCTACCGAAAAACCAAAATAAAACTTATTTTAGGCCTCTCTTGTTCCTTAAAAAACAACACAACTATTTTGCTGAGAGCAAACTTCAAGAAAACCCATAACCCAAGCAACAAATAGTCTTTTCTTCCTTAAAATTTTACAACTTTTGCATCTAAACCATCAAGTAAATAAAATGTGATATAAGTAATTATCTGGGGTGGGGTTGGAATATTGCAATGCATAGATAAAACAATACTAAAGCAATCTTTGAATCACTGCCACACTAAACTGGGCAATTGTACCTTGTACCAACGAGTCTAATTCAGTACCTACAGTGTTGGTAGAATGGAACAATGCCTCACAGCATTTAGACTCCATGTAACATTAAAAGTTTTTATTAATAAGCATTACAACAATTGTATAGCTTTTAATGTAACCTCATTGTTTGGTGCTGATTATATATACCCTTGTGTTATTATTTGGCGATGCCATTTTAATATTCATTCCTCCTTTTCTTGCTTTCTAGTGTTGTACTTAATCCTCCTAGATCTTAGATCAATGCTAGCTAGCTTGCTGAGTATCACCGAGCGTAAACTTACGATTTGGAATTGAGTTGTACACATGCAACGGATAAGTACAAATATTCACTCTGTGTTTTATACTCCGATTTTACACGTCCATGCACCATTCTGTCCATTCAGGATTGTACATATTCATAAATGAGAGTTTTTTGTTTCAATGTTTAAAAACTCAAATGTGCTTAGCTCACAATAGTGGTTTATATTTTTTTTTGAGCTGTGAAACCTTTTGGACCGTATTTTAAATGTACCTACTGTTAGTAACATTTTAGATGGTATTTTTGTTTTGCAATAAAGCGATAGTTTTTATTATAGTCTTATCATTTCCTTTTCTCCTTTCTGTTTTGTTTTCAGAGACATCCACATTCTACTGTCAAGTGTACAGAATTTATAAAATGAGATTTTAATGGAAGTTATAAATATACTATAATTCAATATTATTATTGGCCACAGGAATGAGTAAACTAATAGTTCATCAAGTTATGAATTCCAGCCTCAGGCAAGATCAATATTTCATTTTACTTCAATATTGACATAGTGTAATTTGTATCTCAATCTGTATTTTGGCACTAAGTGTGACTGGACATATTTTTGAGTATATCAAATGCTAAATGTTTTGGAAATTAGGAGTCTATTCATAGAGTTAAAATTTTGCAGTTTTTGGATTTTTAAATGCATATTATTCTTAGTTACAGGTAACAATTTTTTGTGAAACTCACAAATGATGGATTAACTTGCCAACAAATTCGCCAGGGGCTGACATTTTTATCTGCTAAATTTTGGTGACAGGAGTCATCAGTTTGAGTGTTGCTGAAAGTCTAAATCTTGTAGACTTTTAAGTGCCAATGTCCTAATCAGATAAGAAGTAAATAATATAATTAGAATTAGCATGGTCATACATATAATTTTCTTTCATTCATTATGCAATAGGTTTTAAAATGATACACTTAATATATATTTTACTGGTACTCAACCCTCGACAACTCATCTACTCAATGTAGAAGCTATTGACCAAACCCCATAGCAACTCGCCATCACAAATGAGAAATATGTATGCTTAACATTTATTTCAGTACAGTAAAAGCATTTTTTTAGTTGATATAACATGTTTTTCCTGAAACTAGGAGCAGTGATAAACTATCTTTCTGGTGCTTACTCAAGTAATTCTGGTTGTTCAAAAATTCTTCAGATGATTAGCATTGCCTACACTTTTTTTTGTGCCTACCTTGTTTTTTGGAGTACAGATAGTGAAGTCTCAGTGCCGGAACCATCATCAGACAGTTTTATGTACTACAGAATTGTGTCTGCCTACTCTTCCATGGACACATTATACTCCACAATCCACAACGTAAAAACTCGTCACTTACTAACAACTCTAACAAAATCTTCAAAGCAACATCATCGTTTTGACAAATACCTCAGAAAGAATGGAAAGAAACGTTTGTTCACTTTGTTCAAAGCGATTGAAACGGTTTTGTTCATCCTAGGAATGTTGGTAAACGTATCGTCGATCACTAAAGAGGACAAAGTACATGAACTGTTTGGAGTTCCGTCACAAGATTTTACTAAAATAATATCTATTGTTGCAATAATATTTTTTATGTTTATAAACTGGGGGTTTTTCCTCAACTGTATAATATTTAGGATCTCAGAACTGGAAGTCCTACATTACTTCAGCCAGTTTTGTTCAAAACAATCTCACAATGGGGAAATCTGTTCATCTATCAAACCTTCTCTTGAGATGATCGGAACATTTGTGAAAAGCACAAATTTTGAAATAGAGTGTTCTCCAGAACATATAAGCACGATAGAGGAAACCAATCCAAACATCATTGCAATAATGTTAGAATCAAATGATCTCCGACTAAGGTTTCAGTCTTGGTCTTACTTCTTGATTGCTATTAAAACGATTGGATGTTTTATGTACTATCCCATTATGCTATCACATGCTTCAAAAATTTTCTATACAGGAGGATATTTCTTAATGATTATGTCATCCGTATTATTTTTCAACCAGAGTAGTATACTAAATGGATGGATCAAGTACAAAAGGGGTCGTCTTTCAGTTGTTTTAGCACAGAAGGCACTAACTCTGTCGACCCCAGCCTCGAAAGTGTTCAGCAAACTACCCAGCATTGTCAATGACGCTTACTTGGACACCCCACATGTGTTGTTTGATATCGACTGTTCTCTAATCAACATGATGGTGGACACAGTTGTGTTGATTACAACTTCATTCAATCTTAAGTAAACTTAATCAATTAAAAGCCATAAGAATATATTAGAATTCAAATTTAAAGTATTACCAAAGTAAATATGCTTTCTGGATTATGCCATTTGGGGTACAGAAAACACTAAACGCAAACAAATATGAGAAATAATTTTCAAAAAACTTTGTTCAAATTCAGAACTTCTACTGAGGATTACAAGAACCGAATCTGGATTGTATGAATATTCTATTGAATGTTTCATAATCAACTTTAATTTGAAGAAAACTACAATAATTATAATTGGAGAATTGGAACATTTCTAGTTGTTTTGTGCTATCATGGACTAACCGGAATATGCTTTAATCAATGTTATTAAATACTTTTTACACTCCCTGCTAGCAATTCTGAGTTAAATCATCATTCATGACTGTTGCTTACAGTCTTAAGAATTTTAGAATTGTATTTTCTGGATAGAAATGAATATCTTGAGTCATCAAGTACTTAGCAAATATCAATCTTTACTTTCTACTTCATTTCAAATCTCAATTTTAGTAACATCGAAATGTTTTTGGATGAGTTGATAAAGAAGGGATATTTCCAAAAGCTAGCAAAAAAATATTATTTGACACCTTTTACCTTTTACCTTCGATGTCTTCACCACAATCCGTAGATCGGAGAATCGTCATGATTCTTCCGTCTGGACGGGATTTTGCTATTTGTTCACGAAGTGAGCTGGCGTATGTGTATGTATGAGTGTTCCTCTATGTACTCGTTTATGTTGTAATATGGTCTATTGGTGAGGTATTTTTTTAGGTGTTGGACAAATGTTTTATTGTTGTGTAGATGTTTAAATTGTTGTGGTAGCAAATTGTAAAATTTTGAGCCAGTGTATTGTGGTGTATTGCTGAATTTAGAGAGTCTATGTTGGGGTAGATCTATGTTTGCTTTGTGTCTTGTATTGTGTGTATGGAGTTCTTGTCTGCGGACAGGTGTTAAGTTTATGGAGTAAATGATGGTTTCAAGGATATACAGTGATGTGATGGTAAGGATGTTGAGTCGAATGAAGTGTGGTTTGCATTGTTCATATGGGTCTAACCTCAAGATTGTTCTTACAGTCTTTTTCTGTAGAATTAATATTCTTTCGAGGTTTTTGGCAGATGTAGAACCCCATGAGGCAATGCCATATCTCAAGTGTGAAGCGAAGATGGAGTGGTAGGCTATCATTGTAGTGTCCAGATCGGTGGTGTTGCAGATTCTACGGAGTACAAAGAGTGCAGTAGACAGTTTTTTACTACCTACCTCAAAGCAACCAAAAGTTTTATTATTATCAGAAATCAGAAATCAGAAACTTTTTATTGCCGTAATTTGCAAGGTACATGCATATGACAAAGTCAACAACAAATGAGGTTCAAGTTCAACCAAGAAAATAAAACTAGATCCGGTAAAACATGAATAGACAAAACATTTGTCTGGGCAGTCATTATTATTTATTATACTTCAGGTCAACTGTTCAATTCAAGTCTACTGAGTATAACAGAACACTTTTTCTGTTATACCCGCAAAGTATTAAAGTAAAGTATAAAGTATATATATATTGTATATACCCAAAGATATACACAGAGTGAGGCAATGGGAACACATCAATTTATAAATAGTACAAACTTAATGCTATTTACTCCATACATATAAATAGCACATCTAAACAAAGCTTATCTTATCACTTAAACAAAAAAAGACAGTAGCTTTTTGATGGTTCGAAGCTGGACCCATAAGCTATTTTGTTTAAAACTGTAAAGGCCATATAATGTACTGATTTTAATCAAAATCAAATTTAAAAAAAACCGTTCAGAAAAAAAAATCTGTTATTTTATAGGTTTTTTATGGGAAAATAAGATAAGTTAGAATTATTACTGAACCGTATTTTTACTTTCTCCCCCTATACCATAAGTATATGGAGAAAGTATTGTTTTTGTCAAAATATTAGAGTTTGAGTTTTGAGTGGATATATCCGTCTTGGGTCCCCCTGGTTTACAGATATGGGAGTTGTACCTACCATTTTGTTTAGAATTTAAAGGACCATACTAAATTACTATCAAAATCGTTCTGGCCATTTTTAAGGAAATTAGATTTTTCCGTTATTATGTGGGTTTTTACAGAAAAATCACCATTAAAATAAAAATTAAAAAAAAAATGAAAAAATACCTGGAGATACCATAGATAGACCTACTTACCAAATTTCATCAAAATCGGACTAGAGGTGTGGTCAGTAGCTCTATACACATCCGCACACAACCAGGTCCAGGGTCCAGACAGACACACACACACAGAAAATTACTTCAAAAACCAATTTTTTGGGCTCAGGGGGGCCCAAAACAGATACATTCACTCAAACTTGAAATTTTGCACAAAAACAATAAAGTAATTTCTAAGTATTATTTATATACAGGGTGGTAATAAAGTCCAAAGACAGTTAAATATTTTCTAAACGACAACAGATAAATCAATAAGATTTGGTAGGTACATCAACACCACTCCTAAAAATCTACTTTTTTAGGAAATATAAATTTTCTGTCATATCATGGGGACGTCCCGCAAGGAGTCAGAAGGAAATCTTAAATAGAAGCATAGTACATCAAACATCAAACATGTACATCAAATTAAAGGTCTTTACTATCAGAACATAATGCCGAAAATTTGAACTCAAACGGGCAACCGACTAATCTATCCATCTATTTATTGACAAGTTGGTCCCAGACTGTCGACAACCATTAACGTAACTCAACCAATATACAATTTTCTTTGAAACTTAATCAATGCTGCATTGTCCCATTCCATTGCTCCAAGACTCCAAGAAATACTCAATCTAAGTCTACTATAGTCCAAGCAGACGATATGAAACCACTCATTTTGGACCAGTAAAAACATGATGTTTTCGTTTTCACTGATTTCAGTTTTTTTTCAGTCAGCAGAACCATAGACAAAACTCAGAACAGAACTCTGAAATCAGAATCAGAATCATCGAATCATCACATTCACTGTCACTCACTGAAAGGCGAAGACGAACGAAAATGTTTCACGGTAAAATTATGTCTCTGATTA